TCGAGCCTATACAGCTTGGAGTAAGACAACATGCATGAAGAGGATGATGTGGACAAAATACTCATTTGCCTAATAATTCTGCACTCCCTATATACACATGCACACAGTGTACACGCACACATAAAAGCAAATGCTCATCCAAATTCCATTGGTGTCTCACCAAGGATGCGAAATATGAGATGAAGCTCATCCTCTACAGTTGATCCAGGGAAGAGAGGTCTGCCTGTTATCATTTCATAGAAGATGCAGCCCACACCCCTGGAAGAACGACAATAAAGTAGTACAAAATTATAGTGTTTTAGTCATCTATTATGCAGATTCAGGCTGCCAGGGGATGTAAAACTATAAACGAGTTGCAAAGAGGTTGTTTTTATCTAATGCATAAAGCAAAAGATTTTTAAAAATCTAACTTTCTCCAATTCTATACATAAATATGAAAAAAGAACCTTTTTAATCAAATTCTACAATGTTTATGTCCTAACATCCATACAAAGTATTTAAATGCTGATGAAAGACAAAAGAAACAACTCTACTCTGAAATATGCTGGTACCTCAGAAGTGACAGCTGCACAAACAATGAAAATGGGCAGTATTGATAAATGTGTCCACTCACCACATGTCAATGGGTGTAGAGTACTCAGTGGAGCCCAGCAGCACATCTGGTGGTCGGTACCATAATGTCACAACTTCATTTGAGTAGGTCTTCGTAGGGACCGACTTAGCTCGAGCCAAACCTGATTTTAAATAGTGAGACTAGTTCATAAAAATACAGTTTTGTAATGTGGGCCACCACCTGTGAACCTGTGAGAAGATGTCTTATCCAAACTCTGTAACAGCTTTTCAACTTTGCATAGTGTCGTAGTTGATGAACTTTAAAGTTTTGTGTTCTATGACATAGATCAATTCTTGTTACATTTTTTAACTTTACATATTTACTGTTTATTTTTATAAAGTACAAAGCTTGCTATGCACAAGGATGGGCCTTTAAATTGCATAAAAATGCATTAAATATAATGAATACATACATTAAGGAGAACAGAAACTCAAAATACAGAAAGGCAAAATAGTATCAGGCACAAATAAGATACACAATACCTGAAAAAAGATCATGCATAAAGCTAGCTTCCATATGAAGTGATATGGAATTAATGAAATATCATGTTACAACTTTTACCAAAGGAGGGGAGTGTTGGGTAATTACTCCAAACTATGTTGTTTTGAGTACCATGACCTTTAGGAGTTGCTAGTGGGACTCGTACTTGTTTGGGTTAGGGTGTATATAAAAGGCTACTGGGTTCTAAAAAACACACACACACTTATCTCACTCTGATGGATCCATGTTGCGTAAAAATACTTAAACATGTGGAGTGGAGGAGGATTGATCCATCCTCCTCCACTCCACACGTTTATGTATCCTTGTCCACATGTTTTTTGAGCCTATCTTTGAAAACTGAAATAATCAAAATGAGACACAAATAATATTTTAAGTAATTAGCTTGTGAGAACCTTAGAAAACTAAGCAATAAAGGAACTTTCAGCATATTATACAAAACTATCTGCCCTTTAAGTTAATGACAAAGGTGACATACCAAAGTCTGCCAGTTTGAGCTCTCCTTTTTCATTGATGAGCAGGTTCTGGGGTTTCAGGTCTCTATGGAGGACCTTCCTCCTGTGGCAGTACGCCAGACCTCTTAAAAGCTGAAATAAGAAGATCTGATGTGGAGAGAAGAGGATGTAAACAACACAATCAGCCACCAGACACATTTCCATTTTTCAATACTGACCGCTTGTAATACTCTAGATTACCTTAACGTTGTGAACGCTCATGATGCTCCCACAGTCGTCCATATATTGCTTCAGGTCTTTTTCCTGATGAGAAAGAAAGAAAGTGCTTATCTGTAGTTTCTGGTTTCATGTAACTCACACATTAAAAACAAAGTGACACTCACCAGATACTCAAACACGAGTGTTAGGCACTTGTCAGTGTGGATAATGTCATGGAGAGTGACAATATTGGCGTGCTTCAAGTCTTTCAGTAGAGACACTGGAGGAGAAGACAGATTAGACACTGTCAGTCAAACAGAGACAAGCTGTGAGACGTAACACGGCTCATACTTCAGTCACAGCCCGTGGCGCTACAAGACACTTTGTCAAGTTTTTGTCTGTATGTACAAGTGTGCCATGTTGACTTTGGAGGTGTGTGCTTCCAAATCACAACTGTTTGTCAGTACCTTCTCGGATAGCGGTGCAGGGCGCGCCCTCCTCGTGCTCTAGGCGGATCTCTTTCAGGGCGACCAAGTTATCTGTTAACTTACTTCGCCCCTTAAATACTGTCGCATAGGTCCCCTGCAGAGATGTAAAAAAAAAAAAAAACAGTAAATGAATGAGTAAAATACAGTGGATGAACACTTTGTTTGCATTGTGTTGCTTCTGTTGGTGGCTCTTTATTGACCTCACCTCTCCTAGTTTGTCCAGTTTGATGTAGGTTTCAAGTTTCCCAAAGCCGATCTCAGACTGTGGAGGACAGAGAGAAGGCGTTTGAGGAGGCTGGCAATGACAGGTCAAATCTTGCTTTTGCACAGCCTGATCGGATACTGCATCATATTTAATTTAACTGTCAGCCTCACTACTTTTGAAATCTCTCCGACAATTGCAGGTTTCTGAGTCACCAGGCCTTTTTTTATCCTGTAATGTGTACAAATTACAGGGCTGCTTGAGCAATTTTTAGGATTATTCTGTATTTTTGAGTGTGATTCATCTTGAACAACAGTCTGCAGACATAATATTTTCAAAAGGAAAAGGACAAAAATATCAACATTTATCTAGAAATCTGCATCTCTTCAAAGGTTCTTTAACTGTCATTACTGGGAAGGTGTGACGTAATTTACAGATGCACATATACTGTTTGGCCACAAGGTGTCAGTGTAGCAAAGATAATCAAATATGGCAACTACGTTTTTATATCTAAACATTTTTATAGACTATAAAGATGTGGAAGGTAAACACTGCAGAGTGATAACTGAAATAAACCTGAGCTCAGTTATACATGGTTAGCTGTATAATGTATGTGGCTCCTGGGTTTTGAAGTCATGAATTATGGATGGATGTCGCTATATAAAGCTGTGATGCCCACAGGTCTGTCAGGGTTTATGCCTGTCACTTGTTTCTCTCTTTTCCTCAATAATTTGTCTAATTGTGTGACGTTTCCTTTACATTCATTATAATGAACACACTCAACCCTCTTAATTTAGTCTGTCCCATTGTGACAATCGTACAAAGTCCCAGGCCAATGCATGTACGTATGCGTGTGCGAGGGAGGGGGAGGGTCTCCGGTGACCAAGTTAGCTGTTGAAGCATGTGATGTCTTTAAAGGCATGCCTAGAAAAAACACATCTGAATAAGCTCGGATACAAAATGGCATACTTACACACTGAGACAAGTGAGTGTGGACATGGGTAAGCAGGAGTTTAAATGTGCAGAAGTTGTTAATTAACTGACACATTCTTATTTGTGTATTTAAATCAGTGCTTTTATTTGTTACACGTCAATTTCAGCCCTTCAAACTCACAAAAAAGATGAAAGAAACACATCAATCAGAGTAGATATATGAGCTTTTATGTAAAGCAGGGGCATGTACTTTATAATACATACACTTAGACACACTTTATGCTTAAACGTAAATCTAACACAAAAAAACACCCACACACAAAGACGTTATTGCCACCTCCCCCACAGCTAACCCCTATAATAACAATCATATAATAAATCTTGCCTCGTGAAGGAGTGCGTGCACACAGAAAGGCGCACCTCTCTGCTACCGGTGTGCAGCAGTGCTCTCCGACTGCCTTACCATGTTTTTCATAAGTGTGAGCTTGTGCGCCTGCGTATGCTTTTGATGGCAATAGGTTCATTTCATTCCCAACGCTCTAGCGAGCTTACTCAGCAGAACTAGGTCAGGCCAAGTTTTAGTGACAAAACTGAAGTAAGATAAAACCAAACAATATGTGAGTGTAAGTGCCTTGTCTCAGGCTGCAGGGCAACACAGGCTGATGAACTCATAGTACAAAAAAATGCAGGATGTGAAATGTCTGCAAGAAGATATTTATTGACAAAGAAATCAAACGAATTATCCATATTTCACTTGTAATTACAGTTTCTTTATGTGGTACCTAGAAGAAAGCTTAAGTTTGAGAGCGAGGCTGGATTTATAGTATTCAGTGGGAAAGCTAAAATGATAGCCTTCTGAGAAGAGAAGAGGTGGCAGGAAATGAGAGGTGGGAAGAAAGATGAGGCCATTCACTAACACGAAGCTTCCTCAGAACTATAATCAATCGGCCAATAAACCAGCTTGCACTGTCACCATGTTCATGTAAACCTGCCAACAGCAACAAAAAAGAAAACCGAAGGACTGCACAATACTTAGCAGTCCTTTTGGCTTTCATCAGTTGACAGTTACATCATATGTGACTTACAATGAAAACACAACATGAGCAAAGAGAGAGGGACATAATAATAGGCATTGAAGTTTTTTTAGCCCAGTGTTCTGTTGCTGTAAGGTTGAACGGGTTCGTGGAAAGAAGTGAGTGCTGCATAATATGATTAAGTGTTGTGCTTCGAGATAAAATGACATCTCGCTCCTCAGTGCCATGGAACACTGAGTTTCACTGGACTGCTGTGAATAATTGATTACCAATGTGCAACAGCCATGAGCGAAAACTGATACCGACTTCACTTGCATTACACTGGCAACAATTCGACACTCAAAACACGTGATTTCAGAGTCTGCGATGGAATACCGGAAACATGATCTACATTACCATAACATATGACAAGCGCACAGGCAGCCCCGAGGCTATTACATCAGTTTTCTCAGAAAATTTTTTTCCAAACATAACAGGATAACTGGTATTGCTTGTTGCAACAGGAAATACCACAAAGGAATTTTTTTAAGCAATTTGGGAGGTGTTTGTTTGCCTGTCTGTGGACAAATTTTGACTTGATAGCATCACAACTCCACAGTAAAAATAAAGGCTGAGAACCAAGAAAGGTGTGGTAAAATCCACAAGCACTCAGGACTCATGTCATACCATTGAGTACCCATGGGTCATCGCAGCCAATGGGATTCCTTCACTAGATAATCTCTAGTTAAACTTAAATCTCTTGTGAAACCATTTATTTTAAACATCTTTAGCTCCTTTTAAATGTACTTAAACTATTTCAGGAGCAGATGAGCAGTGAATGAGGAATTTCTGCAGGCTAATTCATTTCATAGCACAAATTCAAAGTAATTAAATACCGTACATACTGTGCAAACCATGTTCAGACTACTGCACGGTCAGAAACACACTTTTGCATGGATGCATTACCCTATATAAAGGAACGACCAGGACTAATAGAACAAAAACAGTCTGGCTGTGATGCATCTTCTGAATACATGGGCTGCAAGCTCGGCAGAGTGCTCGGGATCAATCAAAACCTTGTTTTCCTGGTATAAAACCTAAATCCAGCTACAGAGTGGCACTAATGTTTCCATTTGTCTTTACTTACATTTGCTTAGCATTTTTCAGTTATCCATGCCCTTTTTAAACCTGACATCTTATCATTCAAGCCCTTTTAGTCCTCTCTTTCCATCTCCTTTTGTACATTTCCTTTCTCTTCCGTGCTCTCTAGCTCATCCCAAGGTGTCCTGGGGTGTAATCCCAGTCAGGAGAGGAGCTGCAGCAGATGAGACTGACACTTCTGCTGAATTATTGATTGAGCTATTACATCACACACATACAACAACTCCAACAATACACAGCTCCACACAGCTGGGCAAACCCAACAAAACGCACACTATACATCTAATATATATGACTATCCTCTTCTTCTGCTCCACCCTATACCATATACTTCCCCTCAGAGACTCTTTGCTTTCAAGTCTGTGAGCCTCCTGCAGAAAAGCTACGTCATTAAGTTGCTTCAAGCAGAGAGATTGAGGCGGGCAAATGGACCTGTTTGATAATAACAGCAAAAACGGTTGATGGAGGATGAGTCCTTCATATTTTCCCAAAGAATATCAGGCTTTCAGTAATCTTGTTTAGTGTAATGCATTGACTAAGTACACTGAATTCCCTTTAAAACTACGCAAGCCTGTGGGTGGAGTGAAACAAAGGGCACAATAATGTATAACAGGAAACTTGAAAGTTGGAGCGATGGCAGAAACAAAACCGTAATTTGGAAAAAAAAGTGTGACCAAAATAAAAACCAAGTGACAGAGCAGGGGCACTTCAACAATTAAAGGACATGCTGCATATTCATGAATACAAGCCTATTTCTTTCCCGAACAACCCCTCCTCTCACTGCCAGACCCCAATTCATACCCATAATGCTCTTGGCCTGTATGCATAATTCAGAATCTATCATTCATGCCCCTACTGAGGCATTGTAAGCACTATAGCATAGCCCAGTGTGTGTTTAAAGTGAGTCTATGTTTGTGTCGTTGCTCTGTGTGTGCGTTTTAGACAATAATGGTCCTGGTCAAGCATTTAAGTAGTGTACAATGGCATTGAAAGCTTACATTACTTTTGTTTCTACACAAAGCAGCATGAAAAAGGGCAAGCACACACCCAGATAAAATGACAAAATGACATCAGAGACTAGCTTCAACTGCTTTGCACACATATATATAGATGCAAATGTGCACACAGATAAATTAAGTACTGACCAATGATGCGCGCCGTAGCCTGCGGCTCATGGGTTTGTCAAAGGGCGGGCTGTTCATGGCAAACTTCTCCAAGTAGCCCTCTGGTAGCCTGATATCAGCTGGGAGAGACAAACGTTTGTTTATGTCCTAAAAGAGAAGAACAAATAAACAAAAGGAGACATGAAGAAACTGAAACATGATTTTCAATATTAAAAACCTTTTTCCATTTACAATTATACTATAAAGACATTAGTCCTGAAATATTCAGGATATTCCGTACCTTTTAAATTTGGTTTGGTATGATATGTCACAAAAAAGATTTACAAATGCGCATTAAATAAATCTCGTTCCTTCATCATTTATCAGCTTGTTATTACTTCACCTTAATTAACCATTATGATCTGGTATCAAATCAAAGCTTTTTTTCTTTTTAAATATTATTGGTTGCTTGTCTACTCACAAGCAGCTTGCTCCATCTGTCTCTCCTGGCTGCGAGTTTGTCAAATGAGAGCAGACCTTTGGTTAACAGGTGCCATCTGCTGCTGTGAATGACTGACGAATGATGATGTGGATAACACCTATACTCGCTATGGCTGAATAAGATGCCAGTGCAAGACCACCACATGATCAGGATAAATTCCAGCTAGTTACTGGCTAGTTTTGGCTACATTTTCATAATGCACTATTAGCATTGAGTTTGCATGTTTTCCCCATGTCTGCTTGGGTTCTCTCCGGGTACTCCGGCTTCCTCCCACAGACCAAAGACATGCCAATAGTGGGGTCTAAATTGCCCATAGATGTGAATGTAAATGCAAATGAGTGTCTCTCTTCAAGATGAATGACAACTGGGATAGGCTCCAGGCTGATCTGCATTTCTTTCAAAATGAAAGCACGCTTGATATTTTTATCTTTTACTTTTTTTGCTAATTAATTCATGTTGTAGTTCTTTTTGACTTCAATTGCTAAGTGCAGCCTCTCCCCCTGGAAGTGTTTAGCTTTAGACGATCACATTTTAGACACAATTTTAGGAATTAAACATCATCATATATTTGAGTCAGTGTTGTTAACAGCTTCTAGCCACTGCAAGAACTTTCACCTTCCAGTCTTTGCTGGAATGCAAATTTCTGTGACACGATCACCGGCAAGGTGCCAGTCACACATTGTTTCCATGGCAGCAGTAGTTAGGTGACCCAGTCAAAACACCCCTCAAGTGTGTGTCCTCAGTGTGAATATGTAGTGATACGTTTGTTTACATGTAACCGTGCAATAGGAGGATATTAAAGTGTGTATATGCCTGAAGATGAGATGTAGAGGTACTGTATGCCTTTAATAGTTTTATCTGAGCTGACTGCCTGACATCACAACATGCATGTCACATGAAAAAAGTATATATAAACTATATGGATGGCGACAACTGACGAATCCTAAAGCAACGCTCTGCATGTTTTAGCAGTATATGTGAGACAATGTAAACGTGAGCCACAGTCGCTTGCACAGAAATGCCTCCTAGCTGTAGTTAGCACATTTGTAAGCTCAACTTAAAATTGGAATCATAAAAGAGAAGAATACGTGTAAGCAATACAACACCATATATAGTGTTAGACATATAAATACAAATGACTGCAAATTTCATCAAGCAAAACATTTGATATTTTATGCAATTTATAATGAAAGTGACACCTCGTGATCACAACAAAAGTCTTTCACACAAAATTCACTGTCCACACTGTCTTTCAAAGGCGTAACAATAGACAAAAGTTCACAAACACAGCCACTCCTGCCCTCTTATTCACTGGTAGAGACTGAATAAAGATCTAAATACAAAACAAAACATGTGTGCCCCCGTACTCACAATGCAGAACAGCTCTAGTAGCTCCCTCATTGTCCTCCTTAAATGTGTTTTTCTATGCACTCACACACATGCGCTTTCAACGATGCATGTCTCTAACCTGATACATGACTGCACACACTGAGAGAGAGAGAGAGAGAAATAGAGTGAGAGAGGGCTGGCACTGTGGTAGAGTGCCATCCACATACTTAGGAAAAGAAGTGGGGGGGAAGGGTTGGAGGAGGGGGATGCAGGAGCAGAGGAAAAGAGGAATAGACAGATTCCTGAGGGGAGAAAGGCAGATGGGGGGAAGGGGTGAATGGAGGGGGTGGCACAGAGAAAACATTGTTTTTTTGTTCTCTCCTGCCATCATTTTGTCCTCCATCTCTTCTTTACTTTCTCTCTTATCATCTCCTGAGCCCTATTCCCCTGGATCTCCTTTTTCTTTGTCATTGCAATAATTACACCGACATACGTAATTACTCTCACCCCAACATTTTCCTCTCCCACACTGCCAATCCATCTCCTTCTCTTTCTTTCTCTCTCTCTCGTAAACATGGTCTAAATTAGTCCCATCCACTGCTCACAGCAGTGAGAGGCTCTGTATCTAGAGGCATTTCCCGTAATACTGCTGTGCTCAACACTCTGCAGCTCCTTCAAACGGACACACGCAGCCTGACCGAGACATGACGGCACTCAGAGATTCAGCAGCAAACAGCAACACTATCTGTCAGATAGCACAGGTGCACTCGCATATACACACAAGTTAGTGAAAATAAAAAGAGCCTGCTATATTTTTCTCTCATAAATGTGCAGTTGCAATAATAGATGTTCAAAATTTAAAATATTGAGGTCACTGAATACATACAGTACACAAATACTTAACGCACAAATACTTAAATACACATACAAACACATCCGTAATTACTATATATGTATGTATATATATATGTATGTGTATATATATATATATATATATGTATGT